TTAAAGCTTATAGAGTGACAATATTTATCAATTAAACAGACGTACTACGTAATTCTTCAGTAAGGATTAAGACACTATTAAAACTTATGAATGAATAGTTATTTCTTATGTATCACTTAAAGAAACTTATGACGTAATTCTTTCGTAATGATTTAGACACTACATAAAGTTTATGAATGGGTTAATTAAACAAACTTATGACGTTATTTTTCATAATAATTCAGGCATTACTAATGAACAGTGGCGGAGCCACACCATGCCAAGGTGGGTCCGCTGCACCACCTTGGACAGCCAGCCTCCGGAAAAAACCATTGACAAGGCGGATATGCAGCATTCAAGTAACCAATGAGAATTTGAGAATGGTTTTCAGTTTTCACCGCTACTACAAGTCATTTATCACTTGTGTTGACATTAATTTGGTATATTTATTATATGTAGTGTTGGAGCTTACATAAAAGAAAATACAATATCACTTTGCCTCTATTTTCCCATCCAACTTTGATATTAGGAAGAATAATGATCGGTTCGGGATGGGTATTTCAATATTCATACTCATTTCGTAACAAGTTGGGTGCAGATCGAATAATTTATTATGAGATAATGGTTGGGGCAGGTCAACTCATATTAGTATGTAGTTTGAAAGGAAACTAGAAATATTCATTTTATCATTAAAAAACTAAGAAACAAACTATAATATGGTAATATAGTTGAATTATTTTAGAAATTGAGGTTCTCATCTATTTACAACTTCATGATAGATAAAATATGATGTACTATAAGTAAAATCCTAAATAATTCGAGTAAATTACATGTAATATAATTTAGATAAAAAAAAGTCGATAATGGGACGGTCATGGCACGTCCGGTCTAGGAGAATACTCATGCTCACCCCGACTCGCTACAAGGAGAGCATTACCTATTTCAAAAAATGTCAAACAAGTCGGGTAAAACGGGTCGGATCGAAATTGTCATCCCTATATACCTCCTGAAATACTTTCGACTTTCCCCCTCTTCTCCTCTTACAGGCTGCAATTTCTATAATAAACTTTATGGGAAGCACCTTTTAAAATATGAAAACACATTGCGAATTATCATTATATCCTAATCAATTAAAACTTACCATATTAAACTTTACGCGTTTAATAAAAGTCTAGCAAACAAACATCACTTTACCTTTTCCCTCGTCGCCCGCCAGACAACCGCCAGACCAGCCCCATCGCCGAACCGCCAGGCCGTCATTGCGCCACCCATTGTCGATCTCCTACGCCGTTGCTCCACCTCATCACCGCGGCGCCGCCATGCTGGCCGTCTCGGGTCGAAGAAGAGAGAAGAAAGAAAGTGAAGGGCAGCCGTTGAGAGAAAAGAAAAGGGTGTGGCGATCTGAAGGTTGGAGACCGGAGGCCAGATCTGGGAGGTCCGTTGCTGCCGGCCGCGGCAGGGGAACAATAAGTTCTCCATCGCAGTCGATGGGTTCGGATGATGATGGTTGATCATGGTGACGGCTCTGTTCGCCACTACTGGTGGTTTCTTGGTTGAGATGTCGAAGAAGAAGATCCCCTCCTCGTGGTCTCCTTGCTTCTTCTTTTGTTGCCTTGGGATCCCACCGCCTCCTGCTCTTGATTATCAATCGCACTCTTCTTTGAGTACCAGACTCGCCTAGTTGCGAGCAAAGTCAGGGACACTGGATTGGATCTCCCTGACGCATTGAGCTACTTTCTATGTTTCGGTATTCAGATTACCGCCTATGGCTTATGGGCCTGTTTGACTCCGTTTTCATGGAGATACAGAGTGCCATAGAGCGACTCTATTTTGTTTGTTCGTTTTGTAGGACTCCCCAACGACAGGAATGCTGCTACAGCGGTGCCATGGTTGGCAGTTTGGCCAGTATGCAGCAACGGCGATTCCCGGCCATTCCCTCTTCCCATTCCCAATTCCGGCATCCAACATTCGGTGGCAGTTACAAGTTCGAAGCCTACAATCTTTGGTGCAAAATGATTTGGTCGGTTACAATACCAGGGCAGTTACAAATTTGCTGAATAGGCGGTTCCAATCCTAACCACGTTTAGCTAAGTCTTCTACCTCTTACTAATTATATATTTCATTATTATAATGTTTACATTTGTGTTTGGTATTTTTGCTGTGGTGTTGCTTTGGTTTTGTATTCGCTTATTTTATGCATCTTGCTTATATTAAGGAATTGCTTTTCGTTAGGCCTGGAGTGTAATTTCTCTAAGAGCCGGTTTTGGTATTTTTTTGGGATGTAGACGGCGGAGTTCGCATAGCTTGTTGAGCAATTGGTGGCATGTGGAGCAATTGGTGGCAACCTGGTGGTACTTGAGTGTTATTTTGCCCCTTTGAGGGTCGTTTGTGTTTTTGCAGGTAGCTTGCATATCAGATCTACTCCTAGCCTATTGGAACCCGACTTATCAACTATGTGAAGTTTGTACTTGGCGGAGTGGTATTTCAAGAAGTTTTTCAAAAGAAGACTTCATTTGCGTTTATTCGTTTATTTATGTTTCTAGGCATACTAACAGGGCTGCCCATTGCGTGGCGAAAACAGCTCTTGCATCGGCTAATCAGCATATGGCTGATTTCCGTTATCTTCTTTTTAATCCATTGTAATGCCCTATCTAATACATTCTACCTTAGCCAAAAAAAAAAAAATTATCATTATATGAAATTTTATTTTATATTGGACCTACCTTAATAAAATTCCTTCCTACGCCACTGCTAATGAAGGTATATTACTTGAACTTTTTGAACTAATTGATTTCAACTAAATTATTAATTAAATTAATACTAAATAGTTAGTTTGTTATCGCTGCGAAGCGCGGACAAAAAAAACTAGTTTGTTTAATGTATTATATTATGTCGCCTATTTCAGTCATGCATTTCCTTTCCCGAAAAAACATTGGTGTTTGCAATTTAGGCAAGGGACGGGATACAATAACAACACTGAATGTGTTGTTACAATAACAACAGGGGTAAAATGGTCACATTGACCCAAAATTAATAAAATAAAACTGCACGAGCCATCGCCCTAGCTTCCGCCTGCATATCCTCAGCTCGACTACCTCCTCCTCCTCCGGCGGCTCCGGCTGAACGAAGACCAGCTCGCCGTTACCGTTATCCCTTGTCGCAGGCGCTACTCTGATCGGCCCCGATTCCACGATGGCGGCGCGCGGGGTCTTCAGATAAGGCAGCGAAGGTCGCCGGCGCGGCGGTGGAGTCGTCCTGAAGTTAGGGAGCGGCCCCGAAGCTAGGGAGTGGCCGCCGGTGGAAACGAGGCTCATCACCATCGCTGAAGCAGCAACACTTAGTTAGTCTCCCCTCTCCTCTTCCTTCCGGCGAGAGGATGAAATTGGAAACGGCGTGGAGAATCGGAGTTGGCGGAATTGATGGTTTCCGTCGTCTTGTACGGTTTAACTTCTGGCTCCAACCACGGAATCGTGTCCGTCCGCGCTCCGTTTGTTATAATCCTCACATTTATTGAATGGCCGGCGTTTTGACCAGAGACAGAGCCGTGGAGGGTTGGAATTGTAAGCGAAGATAAGTTCGGGTAGCATTTGTGAATTTTTCTACGGCGGCTTTTCCATTTTCTACGGGACCGAAGGTTCATTGTTTGTTTTTTTTTGGTAGAATAGTTCATTGTTTGTTATTGTGTCATGTTGGAAGAGGAGTTCCAGTTTGCCAGGTGCCATGTCGCGCCACTATTGCTTTCCCAGTAGCACTGACCATTTCTCAAAAATTATTAGTCAATGACACTTCCGTCTCAAGCAATTGGATCGGATACTTAACATCTCTAGCTTAGCTTAGCTAATTACGTTGTTAATTGCATCATTAAAACACGGTAAAGCAAATCAAAAACGTCCTAATGCAGACCATAAATATATTAAAACAAACCAGAAACCTCGCAAAGCAAACCACAAAAGTTTCGAAAGCACACCAGAAACACAATAAAGCAAACCACGAACAAGATAAAGCAAACCACAAAAACAAACCAGAAACGTCCTAATGCAAACAAAAAATCTATTAAAACAAACCAGAAACCTCGCAAAGCAAACCACAAATATATTAAAACAAACCAGAAACCTCGCAAAGCAAACCACAAAAGTTTCGAAAGCACACCAGAAACTTCTTAATGCAAACCAGAAACCTCCGAATGCACACCACAAATCTCCTAAAACAAACCACAAACCCCACAATCCAAACCACAACGTTTGCGAAAGCACACCAGAAACCTCCTAATGCAAACCACAAACACAGTAAATCAAACCACAAAAAAGCAAACCTAAAACGTCATAATGCATACCCCAAATATACTAAAACAAACCAGAAATCTCACAATGCAAACCACAATTTTTTTGAAAGCAAACCAGAAACTTCTCAATGCAAACCACAAACACGATAAAGCAAACCAGAAACTTCTCAATGCAAACCACAAACACGATAAAGCAAACCACAAAAGGCATACAAAAATATGAGAAACCAAACCATAAATCTCACAATGCAGACCACAACATCCGGTGGTCGTTGGTCGTTGACCGGTCAACGAAAATCGTTGACCAAACTCCGATGACCGTCAATGAGCATATTCCGGCGCCGATAGGCATATTCCGGTCCCGATAATTAGATTCCGACGCCGGTAAGCATATTCCGACCACGGTGAGCATATTCCGGCGACTATTACATATTCCGATGACAAAATAGCATATTCCGGCGACAAAAAAGTATATTCCGGTGACCGGCGACCAGATTCCGGCGACCGATGGCCGAACTCCGGCGACCAGAATTTTGGGCCGAAAATCAAAAAATATTTTTTATTTTTTTCCCTTATTATGTAAACATATTTTTCGTAAATGACAATTATACCCCTGCTTTGATTTTACACTAGGTCAACTCATCTAATAAAAAGTCATCACAACCCTAGTTTTCTATTGGTTGGAGATTAGTGTTGTTACAATAACAACACAAGGGGTGTTGTCATAGTAACTGGTCCCTTTAGGCAAGGGAGGTGACCTGGCTGCTAGTGATGGCGATTCCGGCGGACACGCAACTTTGATATTCTTCACTGGACTGCGGCTCCCCCAGCAATGGCGGCGAGCGAATTCTCAACCGGGTGCTACTCGTCGGAGCTAATCCCGCCGCACATACGAGCAACTCTCCGCCAACTCCATTGCCACTCCTCATTGATCGCCTCCTCCGCTCGCCATTGCCAGGAGATCGAGGCTCACCTCGACTCCGCCGCCGCCACCATGGACGAGCGGCGGAGGGAGCTTGAGTTGAAAGAGAAGGAGCTGGAGATTGCTCGGACGGCGGTGGAACGGAGGTCCCTAGAGCTGGACGCGAGAGAGGAAGCTTTCGAGCTGGTCCAGAAGAAGGAGATCGCCGACATGCGGAAACATATGGAGGCGGAGAAGGAGTCGGCGGAGAGGAATCTGAGAGAGCTCGAGGAGAAAGAAGAGGAGTTGGAGATGCTGGGGAGTTACATCGAGGAAAGAGGGATTATGGTCAGGGAAAAGGAGCTCGCGGTCGAGGCGAAGGAGAAGGAAATCGAACGGATTTCTACCGATTTGAAGTCGAGGGAGGGAGAGTTGGAGAAGAATTTGGGTGAACTGAGAGCGAAGGGAGAAGGATTCATTGAAGAAACGGAATCCGGAATTCACGATCATAATAATCCAAGATCCTTGAGGAAGTCTTTTGAGGAACAGCCGAAAGAGCTCGAGATAAGCCGCAAGCAAATGGAAACAGTGGCGACTTCGCTTTCCAACACTATCTCTGAGCTCCAGGCGAAAGAGAAACAGTTGATTAAGGTAAGGAACTTGATTGCTCAGTATACTGCTGAATGTGAACTGAAAGAGAAGCAGTTGTGCATGGCGGATAGGGTGCTTCAGGATAAGGAGAGGGACCTGGGTTCTGTGCAACAGGTGCTGGAAGAACGTAGGGAGGAACTTGTGGGCAAAGAGAAGATACTGGGTTACTTGCGGAATTGTCTGGCGGAACAGTCAAATGAGCTTGATTTAAGGCGGAATGAAATGGAGAAAATCACAAAGTTGCTCTCGGCTTCTAGTTCAGAGCTCCGGTCAAAAGAGAGGGAGTTAGCCGAGGCAAGGAACTCGATTACAGTCTGCAATGCTGAGTACGAATTGAAGGAGAAGCAGTTGGGTATGGTGGTTGAGAAGCTTCAGCTTAAGGAGAAGGAAATGTGTTCTGTTCAACATACGTTACAAGAATGCGGACAGGAACTCGAGACTAAGCAGAATCTATTAGGTTCCTTACTAAGTATATTGGACCTGCTCAGGGAGAAGGTTGGTGCGAAAGAGGAAGAATTAGGATCTCTGCAGAAGTCTATAGATGAGCAGAGAAACCAAAATCAAGCTGGAACTGTAGATGGTAAGTTTTACTCTGTGGATGTGTCATTGCTATGCTTATCCTAGATCATTATCATTCTGTAATGTGAAAGTGAACTTTGAGTTTATCTGGGTTCCCAAATATGCAACTATGCAAGTATATATTCTCCACATTCAAGCGTTCTCACACCCATTCCTGATGTTTACTTTTCATCTGAAGGAGCCCTTCCCTGTGAAAGCAACCCAGATTCCCCCCTAAAAGAGACATCGCTGCCTTATTTGATCGATGATGAGATCTCTACTGCAATTCAGCAGTCACCAGACCCAGCAAAGATGATCTTGGACCAGTTAAAAGAGTCGATGTCCCAGATCGATGCCAAGAAGTACAACCAAACTGTAGTAAGGAAATGCATTGTTACGCTGGAGCAGTTATTGGGAGTCTCGGGAAAGGTAAGTCCTGAGATGGAAGAAGCAGCAACAAGACTGGCTATTTCTTGGAGGGGGTATTTAAGTCAGGCGGCTCATGGTACAGTGGATGTTTTGGCATTCCTCTTGTTTTTGGCTGCATTTGGAGTTGGCTCTCATTTTGAAGCAGAGGATACGTTGCAATTGGTCGAGGAGATTGCCCACCATGAAAGAGCTCCTGAGTTATGCCGTTCCATTGGACTTGCAAAGTGGATACCTGGTATTATCTTCGTGCTTTCATTCCTCTTCACAGTACCACCATGGTACCATTCATTTTATGTTGCTCATGTTACTGCTTATGGACAATGGATGCCTGATGTGCTTTTCACCGAAAATTAAACTGTTTCTCCTCGCGTCTCTTTTTCCTTCTTAGTTCTTGCCTAAAGTATAAGTTTCTTCTCTTTTCAGTTACATCTCAAAGAATTGAACTATGATACACTTATGCTCATTTGGCAGATACACGTTTTTCAGTTTTTGATGAAAACTACGTTCTTGTGCTTATCTCTCTAGATTTGCCTAATTTTGAGCCATTCACTGTCAAAACATTTACCCTTTCAGGACTCATCCAGAGACTGAGCGAGAAGAACATGCATATGGAGGCCATTAGATTCACTTTGGCATTCAAGCTAGCTGAAAAATTCCCACCAAACCTTTTCCTATTGGACTACTTGGAGAAGACAAGGACCTTTGAGAATGGGAACGACTTGCTTGAATCACAAGTAATAATAACACATCTCTCCCTTCCTTCCTTGCAACATAATATTGTGACTGCAATGACCCGAAATCCGGAACTTTGTCAACTCTTTCCTCTCTGCAGTGCCAGGCCCTGAACAACCATCTCGATTCCTTAAAAGTTATCTCACAGCGTGTGGCAGGATTTGGTCTCGACCCGAGTTTCTTGAACCAGAAGATCAGCAACCATCTCCAGGAACTGGAGACTGGAGTGGGACGCAAAAGAAGTTGCTTGATAGCAACTGGTCTTGTTATACAGAGCCCACGGCATGCTGGTGCAACACTTTCTGGCAACATATTGGAGCTGGGAAGTTGGAATCAACAAGGACAAAGTAACAAGCGGCCGAAGAAGAGCTAGAGCTATAGAGAGTGTGGTATGTTTATCGTGCAAATAAATGTGATAGATTATAGCTAACATATGTTTGTGAATGAACATAATATCTATTTAGCTTTAACCCATCTAGATGTGTAATATATGCACAGCTACTGCTAGTTTGCTGACCATGTAATTTGGGGTCCTCATGAGAGATCATAATCCACATCTCATCTTTCATTTGGCCACAAAACAATGAAGTTTCTGCAAATACACAAAATAGGCCCCCTATTTTCCCCTGTACTATTCACAACCACCCTAGGCAGTCATTCAAAACAGCTAACAATACATAGGCATTCTTCCCCAAAACAGCTCTCTCCGCCACCGGCTAACAGCTGATTCTGCCAAAAAAAAGTTCTATAAACAAGACAGCTAAAAGAAGCTAAGCTGTCGGAGAACCAACAGCATCGACAGCCTTACTATTGTCCATCGCCGCTGCCGGTCCACCAGCTTCAGGAAGGCTAGCTGTTTCAACACCGCCAGCTTCAGGAAGATTAGCTGCTGGCTCAGAGCTTTGGGCCTCTGTGGTAGCCTGGGGTTTCTTCCTCTTTCTCTTCTTCATGAAAGAAGTCCCTCTGGCTTTATCCTGTTCCTCCTTCATCCCCTTCAAGTAAAACCGCACTTCCTTGGAAGCAAAAGGGTTGGCCTTGGGATCAACTCCACATTCCTCGCAGGCAGCTCTCAGCCGCCCAATCAGCGAATCCTGGCTGCCCCAGGCTTGCTTCAGTGGACAATCGCACGACGTACCCTTCTCCTGGCTTCCATAGTTGGCACAACCCGCAATGTGCACTTTCGTCTTCCCAAATTGATCCATGTGCTTCATGTACGCAATCACATCAGCTCCCGTGCATAATGGCACACTTGAAGAAGCAGGATGCTTCAGAATCTTCGAGTAGTAAAACAAAAACGTCCCCCAGTCTCTCTTCTTCTGTGATTCGTACCTTTTAGAAAAAGGGGCATTCGCAGTCGCGGTAGCAGTTGTTTGCTGCACTCCATTATCCTTTCCAGCGTCCAAGTGCTTCTCTTCCGGAAGAGGCTTGGTTGCACTTGCGCACTTGTCACTTAATGATGGCTCTTTCTCCTCCATTACTTCATCTCCAGGTCCATCACTGTTTGAAGACTTGTTCAGCTCATCAACTGGTTCGAGATGGCCATCGCTCTGCTTTTGTGATTCGGTCGAGTATTGCAATGTTGTCGACTCCAATTGTTGCTTTTTGCCTGAATGAGGATTTTCCAAGGAAGACTGTGTGATTGACGATTCGGGCTCTTTCTCCTTCTCTTTTACATTTTCTGTAGTTCCTTTGTCTCCATTGTTTTTGCCTGCGCTGGCCAAAAGGTCACCTGGATCGACCTGGCCTTTCCTCATTCGCTTCCCAGGCTTGCTCCGAGCCCAATAAAGAAACTTCTCCGAGTCCACGTCCTCCTCTATCCTATTGAGTGAAGAAAAGCAGAACTTGGTATAATCACTCAACGAAGTGAACTGCTCTTGCTTCCTCTTCAGCTCGAACCTTTTCAGTAACTGACGTCCTGAAACAAGTCTCGTGTCTGGATATCCCAGAGATTCTTTCTCTTGAACCCCTCCTGGATTCTCCACCACCACATCATCTAATTTCTCCCTCTGCAAATGAAGCTGCTTCACATTTCCATCCTGAACTTGATTTTCGTCTAGATACATCTCATCGAATTGCTTCCCTAGTGAATTAAGCTTTGATGAGATCGACTCCGGCTCTTTTCCCTTGGCAGAGCACTCAGTTACGATAATAGGATTGATCACAGTACTACCGCATATCGTTCTTTTATCATTAATTCCCCCACTTGTTTCCCTAATCAACTCAGCAGCTACCGGATCAACAGAGCACTCCTGTTGCTCATTAACCAAGCTCTGCAGCTGGTAAATTCTCGTCGTCCGCCCCTTCTTCAACTCATCCAACTTTTTCTTTTTCACCTGAAGCTGAGAATCAGGGGTTGGATCAGATCTCTCTTGTGCACATCCCAGAGCTTCTAAATTCTCCTCCACAACCAAATCTAACTGCTCTCTCTGCAGATCGAGCTCCCCGTTGCCATCCTCAATCCGATTTTCAAGTGAACTCGTCTCAGTCATCTCTTCCTGGGGATCAGGCTGTGCTGCTTGAGGTGAGGAGGACCAAGTTGCAGGCGCTGGTCCCAGTTCACTGCCCCTTGCAGTATCTAATTGCATCTCTTTTAGATGAAGCATTGTCGAGGAGCTCTTGATAGGCTCTGGTTCTTTTTCATTGGCAGAGCACTCTGTCACAATACTAGGCTTGATCACAGCACTACTGTGTTCCGTATCTATATCTTGGTTTTCTTCACTATTTGTTATCAACTCAGCAAATGAATCAACAATGCATTTCTTCGGTTGCTCAGCATTTAACGAAGCCGACTTGTTGACAGCATTGCATTCCGGCCCTTTATCTATGGGGCCTTCACTGGTTTCCTTGACCAAACCATCAGCAACTGAATCAACAAGACTCTTCTCCGCTGGTGCATCACAGCTTGAAACAACTTGTGCACTTCCGGATTCTTTCTCTGTTAACCCTTCATTCTCCTCCACAGGTACATGCAACTGCTCCCTCTGCAAATCAACCTTCCCATTCCTCTCCCGAATCTGATTTTCGAGCAAACCCATCTCTCCCAGGTTCTCCTGGATGGATGATCCACTTGCAGCAATGGATACCTCTCCATTAATCGGCACAATATCTGCTTGATCCGGAGCTGAATCAAGATTCTCTGAACACTTCTTACTTGGCTTTGTGGCCGCTTTTTCCTGGGCAGACAACTCTGTCATAATAGAATTGATCACAGCATTGCATTCTGCCCATTTATCTTCATTTCGCTCGCTTATTTTCTTAATCAACTCGGCAACTGAATCAGCAGAGCGCTTCTTGTGTTGCTCCTCGAGCGAGCTCTGTACCCTATCCATTACCTTCTTTGGCTTTAGCGAATCCAAGTCGATAACATCATTGCATTCCATTTCTTTATCCTCAGGTGCTCTATTGTCTTCCTTCAGCAAACCATCATCAGCTGAATTCACATGCCCCTTTTCCACTGGCTCCTTACCCAAGCTTTCATGTATCCTATCAACTGCATCACCATTCCTCTTCTTCTGTCCAGTCTCAACCAGACCTCGAGAGAAAGCATCAAACCACTCCTTCCCTTTCTCCTTCTGTTGGGAACTGCTCTCATCCTTCTGCTCCTTCTCCGTCTCCTTCGACCGCTTCTTACCTTTGCGCCCACTAGCCTTCTCTCTGAAATCATCACCAAAGCCTTGAACAATCTCGAATTCCATCCCCTGCAGCTCAAGCGTCACCTGAGGCTCCTTATTTCCTTCCATCTCGAGCCGGCTCAACCTTTGCTCATAGTCATGGACTCTGGATTCCAGTTTCTTAATCCTTTTTTCTCTGACTATCAACTTGCCCAATCTCTTCCCAAATTCTTCCTCTCTATGCTTCAAATCATCAGACTTCCGTTTGATTTCCTTCTCCTTCGCCTTGGTCGCTTTCTTTTTCTTCTCCACCTCAACCTCATTTGCCCTAACCCGAACCCTTCTCTCCTCGATGTAATTCCCTAGCATCTCGAGTTCCTCTTCTCTTTCCCTCAGCTCTCTTAGCTTCCTCTCGATCGACTCCTTCTCCGCCTCGAAATCCCTCCTCGACTTGAACAGATCCAACGCCTCCGCGACCTCCTTCTCTCTCGCGTCCAACTCCATGGATCTACAATGTCCACCAGTTCTTCCGCCGCTTCCCTCTCGAGGTCCTGCTTCCGCCGCTCGCCCATGGCGGCGCCCGCGGACTCGACTTGACCGTCGATTTCCTTCCTGCTGAGGCGATGAGCGAACGAAGCGATCTGTGAAGACAGGAGGTGGCAGTGGAATCGGTGGTGGAGGGTTTCGTGTAGGTTGGGCGGATTCTAGTCGGTCGAGCTTCTTGCGTTTAGGAATTCGCCGGCCTCCATTAATGGGGATACGCACACGCATTCCACAGAGAAGATTAAAGTTTCGAATAGTCTGCCTGAGAAGGAAAAGTCAGTATTATTGTTGCAGATCGGCTGAAATGCCAGGAAGAGAATGAAATCGGGAAATGGATGAACGAAGATGAAGAAATGGTTTCCCCCGTGGAAATCGCTCATCACTGTTCATTAGTGGGAAAGTAACCCTAACTATGAAACTTGCTTTCTAAAAGCCCCTGAACTATGGAATATTTTCAAATAGCACCTCCCATTTATGTTTTTCCTACTAATTATAGTTACTAGTAGGGGTGAACAAACACACCCGCAAACCGACCCACCCGTCCAACTCGACCCAATCCACCCGTATTTATCGCTAAATTGAAGGTTTTGGGTTGGGTGAGGATTTTCATTTGTACAACCCGCCTCTTTTGGGTTGGGTTTGGATTTTGGATTACACAACCCGTAGAACCCGACCCAACCCGTGTTCCAATTATTGATATGAGTTCGTATCCAAAAAAATATTTATGTCGTATATAATCATACTTATGAGAAAATTAAGATATTTCGTCATGTTTTTCTCTTAAAGTCTCACTAATCTAATGCATTCTTCGACTTAAAGTTTATACATATATTTAATATAGCTATGATTCACGTATTTTTCTTGTGTACAATTTTAAAAGAATATCATATTATGGATGCGTACTTAGCCTATTTCAACAAATGTCGTGAAAAAAACTAGACATAAGTTGAAGTAAATCAAGTTTTATTAAAATTCAAACAATATTTGTGAATTTTGATACCTTTCACCTCGGTTTATTCGTTTGAATTTTTAATTTGTTATAAAATATTTTTATGATGTAGAATAATTACATGTTTTGTGTTGGGTTGGGTTTTTACTTAAAAATATCGCCAACCCGACCCAACCCAATTATAAACAAACCGTAGGGTTTCAATTTTTTTGGGTGGGTTTGGGTTTAATATTTCCCAAACCGTAGTGCATGGGTCGGGTGATTAAAATGCCTCAACCCGGACCACCCGACCCATGTACACCCCTAGTTACTAGCATGGCCCCTAGGGATGGCAATGGGTCGGGTTGGGGCGGGTTTTGTCAAACCCAAACCCATGGGTTTATCCGTCAAAAAAACCGGGGTAAAACCTGCTGGGTTTGAAAAACTCAAACCCAACCTAACCCGCTGGGTATCCGCAGGTTCATGGGTACCCGTGGGTTTTTGTGATAAAAAATTTATAAAAAAAGTTTCTTTCAAAATAAAAGTTTAACAACAATTTTCTCATACAAAAAACACCAATCTAGAGCATACAAGCAAACCGCAAATGATCAATACAAATTGTTCAAAATTAAAAATAAACATCTATAAACAATAAGATTAATTGAAAGCTTCTTCCTCGTCAACTAAGTTTCTTCACTCTCCATTTCATAATATCAACTTCATTCTAAACAATTAGAAAGAACAAATTATACATGTCTCCACAAATATAAAGAATATTAGTTGTTTAAGGAAGATATATTATTTAGAATATTAAATATACCGGGAAAGTAATTATATGTGTGTGTGCGGGTACCCATGGGGCGGGTTTACCTAAACCCAAACCCAACCCAACCCGGTGAATAGTGTAGCGGGTTTAAACCCGAACTCGATCCAAAACCCGTCAACACGGGTTTTACCCGCGTTGACCGGGTTGGGTCGGGTGGGTACCCGTGGGTTCGGGTTTTGTTGCCATCCCTAAATTGGCCCCGGCCAGTTGGCCGGAGGAATATGAGTTATGAATTTGATAATGTAATGAGTCTATAGTTTATTGTTGTATAAATTTTTTTTGGAAACACGTGATAAATGATTATGAAATTTGATAATGTAATGAGTCTATAGCTTATTGTTGTATAGGTTTTTTTTTTTGGAAACACGTGATAAATGGGAAACACGTGATAAAGATAGTGAATTTTAGCAGGAAAGGGACATGAATAATGCAACGAATAAAAAATCAGCCTTATGAACCAAAATCAAGTATATGTTACCTTGTGAAACCGAATTCCAGAAAATCAAATAAAAAGTCACATATCTCGTCGGTCTTCGGGAAATGAGCATCTCACAATCGTTGTTAGCTTTTACCCGGCCCGTTGGTCGATTAATTTGCTTTATAAAACTTTCATCTTATCGTCGTTGTATTTTCTGGTTTTGTCAGGCCATGATAAAATCTAAAGAAATCAAGAGCGAACAACACGATTTGGGATAGGAACCGATGTTCCTGTATCCCTGAAAAATGGTGGTAAGCACGGACTCATCACCTGCCAAACTGGTTTGGATTGAGATTTTTATCGGGTATCAGGGAACTATGTGATTATAAATTAGACTTGATCACAACAAGCCAAAACTTGAAATTCACCCTATTTGACCGACCCATGCCACTCAAATTATTCTTTACTTTTTAACTTTCTATTTGAAAATAAAAAATAGTGAAAGAAAAGAGATGACTGCAATTCGTCATTTACACATCACTTATTTGGGAATATAACCATAGAAATTTGAAAGGAAACTGAAAAATATTCAGGATCGTTTTAATGTTAAAAATAATCAAATAGAGCTTTCTGTTTAGTTTTTTACTTACAAATACCAAACGATTCCCTATAAAATACACTATAATTTAATCATTGTGATATCAAATAATTACATAATATATATTTGAAATGATAAAAATTGGACTAATTGGGTTGGTTTAGGTTGAACCATTGAATAACTTTAAAATACATTATATTTTAGCTACTAAGATATAAAATAATAGCATAATATATATTATGCTAGAAAAGATAGCTTGTTTTAGAATGACAAACTCATGATGTTCATATGTTTTACTTGATGGCCAAATCCCGTGTAGGTCAGACCCATTCAACTCTTTTATTTTATGGTTAGCGGTTGACCCATTAGACTCCATGGATTAGTTTATTGTTAAATATTTTCTTTTTAGCAATAAAAAGGAGTATTGGTTTTTCCTTTTCATATATATTTTACCACCACCGAGAAATAAAAGGGCTTACAGAAAAAAAATTGACACTCCTGGACCCGTTTAAATCCGCATGTGTACAGTAAGTTGGCCCGTTCCACAGAGGAAAGAGAAAAAAATTGACACTTCCTATTATACCCTTCCTACAAACGCTCATGGAGCAGGGAATTTGAAATGGGGAAGGGTTTGTTCCTCTCTACTATTATATGTTTTTAATTTAAAAAGATACAACAAATGTAAATAGTGTGATTGGTTATGATCCTTGCTTTTCTTTAAAGTGGTCATGGTTCAAATCCTAGAATGTGCCTTTTTATAATAAATAAAAAAGTAATTGTGAAGATCAAAATGTCCTTCATACTTTCACTCTCCTTGCACGAAATTTGAAATGGAGCAATAATTTTCCCCTTCCTGTTATTATATATTGTGTAGATAAATTAATTGGTTATACTTGTAGGTATATAATATGATTTTCTTATATTTATTTTTATCAAGAATTTCTACTATTTTCTTACATCAATCATACTCTTGTACTTGAAAATGTATCACACATGCTTTTATGTTAAAATTCTATAAAAAATTGTCAACCACAGCCAAACCGTGATATAGGCGTCAAAAATATCTATAATAATTTTATTTTAATTTTTTATATTTTGTATAGCTCAATACCCTAATACTTTTACTTTAATGGTAAAATAAATAGAGAAAAAATTGACATTTTCTCGAGGCCAAGTCATGTAGACCATGATTACTATTTTCTTAATGAAAATTTAAATAGAATGGCATATTGATAATATTTTTAAAATTACAAGGGTATGTTTGCGGTAAAATATTATAGACGGTCAGGTTTGATTAAAATTATAATATAAGGGCATATTATACCTAAAATCCATAAATAAATTGACATATATCTTAGTCAACAACAAAGCAAAAATATAAAGGGTAGATTTGTCTTTCACAATTATTTGTTTATTTCTTATTAATAGAATAAAATATATCGGTCTTGATATTTGAATCATCGTCTCTCTAAACAAAAAAAAAAATCATTACCAATGAAACTAAATAAATTTGTTGTATCTTTCTAAATAAAAAAATACAAAAACCTAAATCTAAAAATTAGAGGACTTTTTACCAGAGTTAGCTAGCCCACTAACTCCCGTAAGTTTGTATTTGGTGTTTCATATTTTGATTATTTTAATTTGAGTTCAATAATTAATCTAATTTTTAAATATCTTATAAATTGAGGATAATTTAAACTCACACAAATTGTGTATTGAATGTGTAGAAACAATGTAGAATTCTTAACTTGGTATTAACTTTTGGGCTAATTCCACTAGATGGTTAGTCAAAGGATATTGATTATAGTAATGTGTCGGCCACTTATATGCCACATCATTAATACATCATATTATTTTTAATCAAAATTAAATTATAAAATTCTATATTTCTCATCTCCCCCATCGAAGGGAGTGGATAGGGTGCTGGCACACTTTAGTGTTAGCACCATACTAACACTTACTCTAAGGGTATTATAGTAACTATCTCTTCCCCTTCTCTTCACATTCTCCTCCCCTTTAATTTAGGTTGCTTTTATATGTTTCACTGACAAATTACAATATTTGTACCTGAATTTAATAGATAGTACTATTTATTAATTTTTTATATTTGAGTCCTAAAAAATTAATGGAAAATTATATTTTAGAACCTAAACTTTTTAAAATTTACTAACAGGTCCACTGCTAAGAAACTTCGGCCTGCTTTGAAAACTTCTAGCATACTTTGACGTTCTGGCCTACTATGAGGTTCTAACCTACTTTGACTCTTTGAGGAGGTTCTGGCCTATTTTGAGGTTCTGGTCTACTTTGAGGAGGTTCTGGTTTACTTTGTGAAGGTTCTGACATGTTTTGAGGAGGTTCTGGTCTACTTCTGTGGTCCTCCTCCCTCCCTCACATTTAATGCAAAAAAGGACGGTTGGTTCCCCTTCCCCCTTTTTCCAACTTTTTTTTTTTTTTGCAATACGGGAGGCAACAGCCAAGAAGAAGAAACAGAGGGGAGGGGGTTACATAGTAGGAGTCACCACTATCTGGCGCTCAAAGGAAACACTCATACAATCATCTCGAAGAAACGACCGAAGCTCTCTAGGCGGGTCAGAGAGTTCATGCATACCGTAGGGATAGACGAGACTGTGCTTCGAGAGCCAGTCCGCGACTCTATTCCCTTCTCGGTATGTATGCACAACTCTAACTAGCCAGTCTTGAGCAAGCTTCCTCCTGATAGAGTCCAGAAGCGCAGCATACGGATGAATAGGATCGCGCCGATTGTTGATCAGCTGAATAGCCAGATGAGAGTCGGTTTCGACAATTAAGTTCACACATCTCAGCTTCCAAGCAAGGTTCAAACCATGGTGGAGCGCCCACAGCTCAGCCTGGGCCGCCGTAGCCTCCCCAATCTTGGCTACATAACCTGCAATCCAGTTCCCATTCTCATCTCTAATCACTCCACCAGCTCCCGCCACGCCTGGATTACCTGCCGAAGCGCCGTCGACGTTCAGCTTCAGCCACCCTCGACTGGGTGCATGCCACTGGATATGGGCTGAGATCCTCTCAATATGGGTTGCTGGTCTGCCCGTGGAGAGGGAAGGGGCCTGCCAAGCCCTATGCCAAAGTAACGCCTTGTGCTTAATCGCTTGAGCCAGGGTAGGAGCTGAGAAAGCCTTGGAGCTCCCTTGAAAACAAGTTGTGCATCGATTTTTCCAAATCAGCCAGCATGCCACACTGAAGAAAGTCCGCCAGTCCATTCCGGTTTCCATAGTATCCTCGTTGCTAAGGTTGCTGGGAATCCAAGTATCCTGATTACTGGTGAAGAAGTCCCCTTGTCTATTGCTCGGCACCCATCTCGACCAGCAGTATTGCGCCGGTGGGCAGTCCCGAAGAGCATGCAACACTGTCTCCGGCCTGTCCTAGCAGCGGTAGCAAGCTGGGGAACCTTCACATTTCTTGTAAAATCGAAGAGAGTTGGTAGCAATCCGATTTAACGAGGTCATCCACATGAAACATCTCACCCGTTCAATGGTGGGAAGCCTCCAAATCCCTTTCCAGAAAGGCTCGTCCTGCTCCAAACGCGGCTCCAACAGCAGCTGGTACGCGGTTGTGGTCGAGAAGCGACCATCCGCCGAAGCAGACTAGAAGAGCCTATCTGCTTCAGTTGTCGTCGGATCCACCAAAACAGCCGTTACTTTCTACAAGATATCAGCCGGCAGCAGCGAGGAGAGCCTCCCAGTATCCCAGTTTCCATCCTCGTCCAAGTAGTCCGCCACTTTTAGTCTCTGCAAAAGCCAGTTATCAAGCCAGAAGTTAGTACCTTTCCCATTATGAATATTCCAAGCACAACCCTTTTTCAACAAACTGGACGCTTTAATAATACTTGTCCAAATGAAAGAACTTCCCTGACAAGAATGGAAAAGGTTCAAGTCTTCCCTCTTCTTCCCATACTTAGACCTCATAACCTGAGTCTAGAGAGACTCCTTCTCCTGGAGAATGCGCCATCCACCTTTGGCAAGGAGGGCCAGGTTAGCTTTGCGAAGAGGCCAAAGCCCTCCTCCTCCTTGCTTCCTTGGCTCTGTGAGTTTGTCCCAAGCCACCAGATGCATTTTCCCTTGATTCTCTTCTTTGCCCCAGATGAAGTCCCTGTTAATCTTATCAATCGAATTGCAAACATTCACAGGAATCATCTCGGTTTGCATAGTATAAGTAGGAATAGCAAGGTAAACCGAGCGAGCAACCGTCAGCCGCGCCACCAGAGATAAACGTCTGGCTTTCCAAGGAGCGAGCTTCCTCCGAATCCTCAAGAAAAGCTCCTGGTATCTACTCCTGGTGACTCTGCCATGGATGGTCTGGATTCCCAAATATCTCCCCAGCTCTTTCGCCAACGGGATAGCAGCTTTATCACTAAGGCGTTGGGCTCTGGCTTGGCAGATATTAGGCGAGACATACATGATAGATTTAGTGTAATTGACTTTTTGCCCGGAGCTCTCACAGAACTCGTCCAAGCACTGGCGGATGATCTTAACTTGTCTTCCCTCAGCTCCTGCAAAAAGCACCAGATCAGCTGCAAAGAAAAGATGGGTTAGAGCCGGCCCGCCCTGCGAAATGCTAAGGGGTTTCCATTGCTTTTCGCGGACTGCCTGATCAATTCTATGAGATAATCGTTCCATGCAGAGAACAAAAAGATAAGGAGAAAGAGAGTCTCCCTGTCGCACTCCCCTAGAGGGGGTAATGGATTGAGAAAGCTTGCCGTCCCAGAGTATGCGCATCCTATTTTGTTCAACGCAATACATGATACAGCGGATCCACGAGCTTGGCAACCCCACCTCCACCAGAGTATCTCTCAGAAAATCCCAGCGGAGCCTGTCATACGCTTTCTCCAAGTCAATCTTGACAACCATCCCACCCTTCCTTCCCTTCTTCTTCCGCAGCGAATGAAGGACCTCTTGGACAATGATAATGTTATCCGAAGTCTGACGGCCAGGGATGAAGCTACTTTGCCTCGGCGAAACCAGCTTATTCATAATCGATTTCAACCTACTCGTCATAGCCTTGGTGATAGCTTTCAAGCTCACATTATTTAGGGAAATGGGGCGAAGCTAACTCACAAATTCTGGCTTTTCTACCTTGGGAATGAGGACAATCGTCGAGTCTGACACAGCTTCTGGAAGCGTCCCATTCTCAAAGAAAGCAATAGCCATGTCTGCGAGCGCTTTTCCAACCACAGCCCAACCTCGTTGGTAGAAAACAGCTTGGAATCCATCCGGTCCGGGCGCCTGCAAAGGCTTCATGTCAAAAATAGCTTGATGAATGTCCCTGATCGAGAAAGGACGAAGAAGCCGCATCCAATCCTCCTGGCCAAGATGCAGAAACACCCCTTTGGGCATCAGATCTGCATACTGAGTTGAATCCTGCAAATACAACTTAGAATAGAAATCAAAAACCATATCAGCAAGCTCCTGCTTCTCAAACACCCATTCACCATTCTCATTTCTCAGACATTCAATTTTATTAGACCGGCGTCTGAGCTTGGTGAGCTGATGAAAGTAAGCCGTATTCCTTTCTCCAAACTTGACCCAGCTTTCCCGAGCTCTTTGGAACCAAAAGAGCTCTTCTTGCTCCAGAGTCCTGTCAAGCTAGCCTTCCGGCTTGGAGTGAAGCTTAGCCAGGCCAGGATCGAAAGAGTAAGCTAGCCTTTTCTCGATGCCCTCAAGCCTCGCCACCAGTCTTTTCTTTCGTTGAAAAACACTGCCAAAGACGCTCTTGTTCCACGACTTCAACCTGTTCCACAAATCCTGCAGGGCAGCAGGGAAGTTAGCTTGAACATTCCAATTATCATTAAGAAAATCACTAAACTCAGGATGGGTAAGCCAAGCTGCTTCGAACTTAAAGTAATTAGAAGAGGTATGGTGGACTCCCTGGTTTGCCACAGTGGTCAAGATCGGATTGTGATCCGAACTAATCCGGGCAAGGTGAAGAACAGTCGTGTTGGGAAAGAATTCGTTCCACTCGAGGTTACAGAGACTCCTGTCGAGCCTGCTAGCCTTAAAAGTCTGACTTTGATTGCCTCTGCTCCAAGTGTATTTTGCACCAGAGAAACCCAAATCCACTAATTCAGCTTCATTCAACCAATCCCCAAAACGTTTGCAACGACTCAGAGTTCTAGGAGAAGGCGCTCCTGACTTCTCGGCTGGGGAAAGGATGGCATTAAAGTCGCCGGTGAGAATCCAGGGGCAGGATATGGCTTTGCTTTGCTCAATGAGGTTGTGCCACAAGTGACGTTGGAGCTGCTGGCGGGGTGAAGCATACACTGCCGTCAACTTCCAGCTACGTGTGGCACCCGCAGTGATCGAGAGAGTAAGATGTTGGGAACCGGCCGAGTCCACCTCTACGTTCCACCTCTGACTGTTCCAGAAGAACCAGATACCACCACTTCTCCCGGTAGCCTCCACTCGTAGACCATCCGGGTAGCCCAATCTTTCGCAGACCTTGTTGGCCACTTCGCCACTGACCTGCGGTTCAAGAAGAATTACGAAGTCAGGCTTGTGGAGCTGGAGCGCTAGCTTCAAAGATCGAGAGAAAGCAGCACTACCCGCTCCACCCACATTCCACGAAAAAGTTTTAAAATCAAAGTTGTAAGAGACAGACATTAAAAGGGGATAAAAAAGAAGATAGAACAAAGGGGGAGAAAAAGAGGCGCCAGCAGCGAAAGCGACTGCGATCATCCGGACGGGCGATCAGTGGACTCCGTGTTCCCTGTTGCCTCCGTGTTCATCGTTTCCTCTTGGGCAGGGATGACCAATTTTGAGCCCCCATCACCCCCCGCCCTTGCCATCTCCGTCCAATCCTGGATCTGCTTCAAGGTTAGGGAGACTCTTCTATCTCTACTCCGTCCCTTCTTTTCCTTGATTGGCGTCCAAATCTGTAGCGGTTTCCCTGGGTTGTGGCGGATTGGAGTCCCTTTCTTTGGAATGAGCATCCCTTTGTTTCGCTCCTTCTTTCCCCCACTCTTCTTCTTCGTACGCGCGACTGCCGATGGAGCTTCCGGGTCGACGACCCGTGGCGGAGGTGGTGTGTAAGGCTGGGCTTCCACGACCCGGATTTTGGTTCCATTACTCTCGGAGACTGTCTGGGTAGCCACAGGGGGATGGCTGGTTGGCCCCGTATCATTTCCAATGGGCTTATTCTGCTCAGCCCTTTTCTCCTTAGTGGCCTTGCTCGAAGGAGATAAATGATTGATTTTCTGACTGTCTTCTACCGTGGGCCTACTGGACGAGGCCTCCATCGGATGCGGCCCAAGAAGACCTTCTCCCAACTTCGCTTTGTGACCCAAAACCTTTCCTTTCTCCTTGCTATCCCCCTTACCATTCTTTTCGTTGTTCTTTCCCTTTTTGTCCGCCTCCAGTTTATTCTCAGCAGAGACCCGTTGCTTTAGCTGAATCCTTGAATTATTCTGGGAAGATGACTTTCCCAGGGAAAGTGCTTCTTTCCTTTCCTCAATTCTATTAGAGTCGTTACTTGTTGCCATCTCTGCCTCCAACCTTCCATGTTTGATCTGCTCCTTTTGGTTCCGCCGCGATTTCTGCGTGACCACCATCCACGGGCCGTATCCCGCGTTCGATTCCGGTTTTGTGTCGCCGTTCGTAGCATCCCCTGCCGGCAAGGCCACCGCCTTTCCTTCCTCCCCTTGTCGCCGATCAAGATCAGGGCATGATAGGTTAGTGTGACCCACCCTGCCACACTCAAAGCACACCATAGCCAGATTTTCATACTCTACCTTCTGCCAATACACATCTAATCTGATTCTGGGAACCAAAGGTTTTGAGAGATCCACTTCCACCGCCATTCGCGCAAATTTGGCTCGTTGTTGATGTTGCGTATGAAAGTCGAGCTTGATGGACCTTCCAATAAGATTGTCGAGGGTGAATAGAAGCTCCTTGTGATAAAAATGCACTGCAGTCCTCGAAACTGTATCCAGACGACCATGGATCGCAGCAGATAGTGGTCAAAAATAACCCAGGGGCCTTCGATAAGCGCTTTGAAGTAATCTTGATCGTTGCCAAGTTTAACCAGAAAGCACTCGGCATCTAATGCAAAAACTTCCATAGCACTTGTAGGCCTCCAGAGCGCTCGGATCCTACTACACATCATTGAGTATCCAATGGATCTCCCCAGCAAGCGCACGACGAGCGTTCTCTGCCACGGTTTGCTGAGTTGCGCCCTGAACTTGTCCGAGACTCTGAGTTCTGGTTCGGCCTCGTAACATCCTGTGACCAGGTCGTGTTCTCCCACCGGGATCCATTGTTGGGGAGAGGTTTTCGGAGAGATTGTTCATCTCGTTCCTTCTATCCGTCCCGACAGCAGGTCCATCTGAAGCGATCTCCAACTCAGCAGCCTCCGTCACGTCCATCTGCTCAACAAGTGAGTCTGACGGCACGGCGGCGGCGGGCGCGATCGCGAGCAAAGGAGAGCGGAGCCCCGTCTTCTCATGGTCGGGTTGGAGGGTGTCCCCACTGAGATGGTGTTGTTCGTCCGGCGGCCGCCCCGTCGGGGTAGCTACCGGCATAGAGCAAGAAGAAGAGATCGTACAGAGCATCGAAAAAGTTGAACCGCCAAAAGAAGATGGTTATCGAACTTAATTATTGTTTCTTAATTAATTGTGGCCAGCTCATTTAAATGAAAAAGTCATGCAAACAAAATGGTCATATTGGTTGGAGCTAGTATTAGCATCATGCTAACAAAAAAAGTGTCAGCATGCTAGCATTTCCCCCGTTGAATCCTCTTCCTCGAGTTGCAAGTATTAGAGATAAATAAATAAATAAAATTATATTTATCAATTTGGTTAGAACCAAAACCGAAGAAAGAGATATTCATCTTTTCAATGATTATGAAACCATCAAACTTTTGTCTCAAAATTCTATTCAACAACACAAAAAGAAGTACAACTATATCCATATTGGGTTAATTCAAGTAGGGATTAACCCTCTATCCAAAGAAGGCCTTAATATTGCTATTTTAATGGTTATATTGAATACTTTAGAATATAAGTGACATTTTTATAGTTGAACTGTTGTAGTGAAATTAGTCCTTAAGTTTTAGAACAATTTGAAAGTAACAATATATTTGTGCCAACCCATGAGTGATATTAACAGAACAAAAAAATTGTATATTCTCATCTTTTTGTTCCTTTTCGAAATATGTATAGCAAAAATAAAAAAATACTATCTATATATTAATAGCAAAATGTATTCCCCTTGGAAAACTGTTTAAAGTTGTGACTGTCCATATATGTACGTTGGTCATAGTTCCAACTTCCGTCTATAGGTTATCAAAAACTTATTTGGGTCTTCATCAAGTTTGGGTCTTCATCAAGTTGTGAGAACACTACTATTAAGAGGTTATCGGATAACTTTACCAACTTTATGTGAATACTCTTAAGAGGCACATATGACAACTTTTTAGTGGTCTTTTTACTTTCTTTTATGTCCACTCATTCTCTTCAAGGTTGTCAAAAACAGCTTTAACAAATGGAATGATACGACCGGTGGTACAACATGTTTATACCAGTTCATGTTGGTTTTAGCAAAACATGCAGGGAAGTGAAAATCATTAACACTAAATGAATTTAGCTACAGAGGTTAGGATTAAACGAATCTCATGCTTTGGTTGAGTGAATTGGGGATTGAAATTCACCCATTAGAGGTTAAGATATAGTATTATGTCCCAACCCCCGGTTAATTCATTGTCTAAATAGCAAAACTCAATGGGTTAAAAGATATAGTATCCGGCCGTACGCTAGCCTACCGTACGCCCGTTGAGTTTTGCTATTTAGACAATGAATTAATCGGAGTTTGGGGCGTTATACTATAACCTAACCCCTAATGCATGAATCTCATCCCTCAATTCACTAACCCAAAGCATGGAATTCGTTGAATCTTGAAATATAACATTAAACGCAAACATCCAAATGCTTATACTTGCATTCAACAAATAACATAAATATCTAAACATTCATACTTGAAGATTGCAAATAAGATAAGCATTTAACTTTCAAATTCAAGAAAAAAATTGTTAATTAAATTCACCAAATCAACATCATTTTGTTTAGTGGTCAAAATTTGGTTATGCAGGTCATACTAGGAGCATTCTAGTTCATTTTGTAACCGATAACTATTAAACCCGGTTGTACCGGCAGACAATGCCACCGGTTTGACAACCATGATTCTCTCCATATTCCAACTCTCTCTAAATCTTTTATTTGGATTTTGAGTTTATATATATTTTTTTTGTTTCTTTTGCTAAAACCATTTTTGACAGTATTTGATTTTGTATTATTACTTATCTCGCCCAATTTCGAATAGGAAGACAACGATCCTCTCACTCCCCATCAAAGAGGATGATAGTGGCCTAGAAACCGACGGAACTATATGCTAGGATATTTCATCTTTTTCATTTACTTTAGTAATTTCATATTATCTATTTCTATTTTCTTTGACAACTCAATTTTCTGAGTTTTTTTTTTCCTCGTTGAATCGATTTCCTCTTCTCATTAAAAAGCCAAAACAGGAACATAAGGACCCTCTACTAAGAGGACATCTCCCTATCATTCTCAAAGAACATAAGGACCCTCTACTACTACATAATTAATTTTTCATTATCGGACACAAAAATTTCATGAATTCTCTATTTAATTTTATTCGTGCTCCAAATCAAACAAGTTCTTATTACTCAATAATATTTAGATCACCCTCCTTTGATCCATAATCTCATTGGCCAGCAGGTTCAAATTACTATGGAACTCTCCCACAAAATATTTGTGATTTTTCTAGATGCTTTTGCAGTTATGTCTTATGAGTACAAACTGTTAATTTTTGTATACAAAATATTTACTGTGCTATCTTTCACTCGTCGCAAAGATGGAGCATATTTAGTCATATAAAAAAAGCTTATCATGAAAAAGGAAAGAAAAAAACTCATATATCATTGCCCCCGGAAATATTGGACCAGTTGAGTTTCATAGACTCGGATCGGAGCCGAGATCTATCATGGTGCTGGTGCTGGTGATGGTGCTGGAGCAATCGTTAGGAAGCCAATTATAACTTGTAGCAGATTCCCCCACTGCAATTGCTAAATTCCATGTTCGAAACCCAGACTCATCTTTAAGGACAGAAAGATCTTAATAGGTGAAGAGAAAGGCCATATTACTTGTAGCTCAAGTAAGAGCCTTCCGTGCTTGAAGATCCTCGTTTTCTCTGTGAACTGAACAAGACCTATGCACAAATGAAACAGGCCCAATCAAGAAAGGATAATAAGAGGATATAGTGCAATGCCAAGAGCAGCGTGAAGAGACACCAGGTACCTTCATTTTAAGGCCAAGACCAAGTTTGACACATCAAGTCTCAAACCAGCATGTCAAGGGCCCTTACTTTCCAAGTTCCTCTAGATGTGACCACCAGCTTCATTGTCGCATCTTTCACATTAGACTGTTGGTGCCACATTTAGCAACTCCTGAAGTAGAACATCCTGATTCCTCAAGGTTTACATTCATTACATGGATTGATTCTATTGCTCCCTTGCTGTTAACGAATCTTTGATTAGATCAAGGAGCATCTTTGCCGGGTGCTGAGATTCAGGGGCAGTAGTACTTCATTCTGCGATATTTCACAGGGCAACTTCTCATTTGGGAGCAGGTGTGAACTACGGCCTCCAAAGGAAGTGCACAAGTATAGGCCGTTGCAGATGATGAAGATTCAGGAACCTGAAGCAAATAGAGAGCTGAAATCAATCACTAGTCAACCTTGTTGCAGACACTACAAAACTCTAAATAGCATTTGTTTTATAGACGGTTATCAAACAATGTTGTGCTTTAGGTATCAAAGCACTTGATACGAAGGTTACTGCATAATTTATGAATAAACAAGATTAACAAAGACTTAATAAAGACATTAACATGATTACCAGGATGAAGAATTGAAACAAAAAGTATCATGTACAGACAGTTAATCTTACCAGGTGCTTCAGTTCCTGAAAGGCGGACGCTCCTCTGTCTTTTCAGACCCACTTGTAGATCACCAGTTTAGAATGGTCCCAATGCAGCTTACTCACCAAAAATCTTTACATGAACAATTACCATTTTCAAAATGGTGAAAGCGGTATGCATCTCGCACTACAATCTCCCTATTTGAAATCCTGGATATAAACTTGATCCAATTGTGGCAATCACTGCAGACACGGAGGTTTTTCATCACTCGTATGGGAATTCCATCAGGCAAACTAAGAAGTGCAAAGGTTACAGCCAATTTCTCACTATGAACATATAGAGTTGGATCCTTCTGCTCCATCTCTGTTTCATTTAAAAGACTATTATGATCTTGGACATAACCAATATCAGCTGCTCGATTATTGAGTTCCTCCAGATACTCGTATATTTCATCTGCCAGTGGATGAAGTTTATCTCCAACAAAGAATGCGTGAATTTTGTTCATAACCTCGATCCAACTACGACCTGGCTCTTTTCTCACTCCCCTGTTCTTCATCATTTCCCTGGTTTGATCCCTATAATTCCATCTTCTTGACACTGCATACATATTTGATAAAAGAACGTAGCTTGCTGAATCTTCAGGCTCCAAATCTAGAAGATTTTTAGCTGCAAGCTCTCCCAGTTCAATGTTCTTATGCACTATACAAGAACTTAAAAGGGTCCTCCAAACCATCGGATCTGGTTTTATTGGCATTTCCTCTACAAATTTTCTTGCACGACTCAAAAGACCAGCCCGACTGAGAAGATCCACGACACAAGCATAATGTTCCGGCTTAGGTACTAACCCATGCTCTTTTTTCATGGACTCAAAGTAGCAGATACCCTCGTTCACTAAACCCACATGGCTACAGGCTGTTAAAACCCCTATAAAAGTTACATGGTTCGGCACGGAACCTGACTTTTTCATGTTCTCAAAATGATTTACTGCTTGCAGTCCATCTCCATGCTGAGAGTAGGCAGTGATCATGGCATTCCAAGTAACATCATTTTTTTCAGCCATCTCAAGGAACTTTCTCTTGGAATCACTGATGCTACCACACTTGGCGTACATTGTGATCAAAGCATTAGAAATCTCGATTTCTGAATCAAAACCTCTTTTGAAGATCATAGCTTGTATGAGCTTACCTTGCTTTACCTCCGCCAGATTTCCAGCGGCACTTACTGCAGAAGTGAATGTGAACACACTAGGTTCAACTTCCACTTTGTTCATTTGATTAAATACGTTCAGTGCTTCCTCATAATGACCACTTTGAGAAAATCCTGATATCAATCCGTTCCATGATATACTATCTTTGGTATCCATATTGTTAAACACCAAATATGCTTCTTGAGTCTTACCACATCTTGCATAAAGGCTAACAAGAGCATTAGAAATCGAAAGATTTCCAGAATGACCAGATAAGTAAGCTTGTGCTTGAATTTGTTGCCCTTGATTAAGTGCTTGAATTCCAGCACATGCACTGATTGCACTAGAAAACCCGATACTATCTGCTTGAATTCCACGACTTAGCATTTCCTCAAAAAGT